TATATATATATATATATGTTCAATTATGTTTATTTATCTACGTTCGTTTATGTTCGTAGATAAATAACTTGCAAAGTTTCCATGCCTATTTTTAAATCTTATGTTATGTTTTAACATTAGGTCAATCACAACGATAAAGTAAATGTCATAGCTATAATAATTCCCTTAATCGGTCCAAATAACTAAAAATCGATTGAATAACCCAAACTAAATAACCAAAACTTCATTTGGTTTGAATGTGGGATTTCAAAAAAAAATTATAACACTCCTAACTGACAGTATTTTCAATAGATGACTCGTATGCAAAAGGCAAAAAAGAAGAAGCGTAGAGGTGAAACTCGAGGTGTTGAAAATGAATACTCTATATTTTGGATATCAAAATCTTTCAAGGAATAGATTTTGACATCCGAATTTGTATCCCAAATTCAGAAAGTGGAAATTCTAGATATATGGAATTCCAATATTAGATTTTCTGATATGATTTTAAATATTAATTATCCGAAATCTTTTATTCAAAAATAAAATTCCAAAAATTCAACCAAAAAGTTATAATACTTCAGCTTTTAACTTAGTCCTATGCAAAAACAAATCAAAGTTGCATGGTGGGGTGCACCCTCTAATATTAATGTCATTTTGTGATTCCTGGAAGTCTTAATTATAAATGGCCCCGGTACCATATGTCCATAACTCGCTTTCGTCACATCAACCTTTTTAATTAAAAATATGACTTTTGGAGGACATTCATAACACAAAGAAATATTAAAACGTAAGTAAATATTCTAAAATAAGGGAGAGAAAAACAGAATTTATCTGATTTTTTTTTATTTAAAGATAAGTCCTTAGTTCCAAATTAAGAATTTGATTTGAAATGCAAAAAAATGTAAAATATAATGTTTGAAACCCACTTTCCAACCTAAATCCATATTTATAGTTGTTTTTCTTAAATGAATAACCACGACCGCATACGGTGATACGGTATGCATCATTCTCAAATAAAGGTTTTCAAACTTCACATGCATGTTAGTCATAAGGTATAATTTTTAAGCGAATATGAAGTTTGTCTTACTAATTTCTCGCTGGTTAAATTTAATATTTTATTTTCTTGAATAATTGTTCCTATGAGTTCTATTCCATCCTTTTCTTTTCCCGATTTCCAAGCATTCCCTCTATAGCGACACCACTATCTCTCCTTCTTAACTATCACCTTCATATATACTGATCTCTCTCTGGTTCTCTGATTATATAATCAAACTTTTTTCGTTTCGATATCTGCAATTTACACCCCGCTTCATAACTCTGAATATAAAATAAATTAATAGTAAAGCCTTTCTTTTCTGGCCACCTCTTACAAAAAGCCTTCCTTTCTCCGATTCTTCGTCAAACCTCAAACCTAACCTACCACTAGTCTACTACTGATAAAAGCCTACACACTCTTTACTACTGATAAAGCCTACACCCCTCTCTTTCTCTTTATCTCTCTCTCTCTCTCTGTGATTTGGGAAAGACCATGCAAAGATTAATCATAAGGCACTCATGATATAATCACTATTCAAAAACCTTTTCTTGAACACCATCCAATCTGTCTTTTTTCGTAATATTTTGTTAGATATTCATTTCGACTCCATGTTTCTCGCTTCAAGAACTACACCAATGACAAGTGGTATCACAGCTCCATCTTTGCCTGATCTATCGTTACAGATCCGTCCTCCAGCTGCTGATTGTGTCAAGAGGACAACCTCCAGCTCCACCACCACAGATTCGAACAGCAGCGGCAGTGATTTAACTCATGACAACGGCTTAAATTTCATCAACCATCAGTACCACCATCCAGCGCCACCGGAGAGAGGAGGTTTTGTTACCCATGGACTCCAGCTTCATCACCCGCGGCTGAGCTTGGGGGTTGATCACATGGCAACTTTTGATCCTCACTTCCCACATCATCCCATGGTACCTTTACAACTACAAAGAAATAATCTGCTTCTTCAACATCAGTATGGCAACAAACATTATGATCAACCACAATTCTATGGCCATGAGTTTAAGAGGAGTTCGAGAATGGGTAATCGTGTTAGAAGGATCGTTAGGGCTCCTCGGATGAGATGGACTTCCACTCTACACGCCCATTTCATTCATGCTGTTCAGCTTCTTGGTGGCCATGAAAGTAAGTTTTTTGATTCATATATCCTCATATTCTCTTTGTTCTTTTCAGCTTTTAACTACTCTTAAAGGATCACTTTTTGTAAAATATTTTCCAACGAGATTAGCGGAGTGGATCGATTTTAGAATCTTTTTTTCTTAAACTAATGCGTTTGTGTTTATTTTAAAATGTTGCAGGAGCAACCCCTAAATCGGTGCTAGAATTGATGAATGTGAAGGATCTCACTCTTGCTCATGTGAAGAGTCATTTACAGGTAGCTAGCTATATTATCCTTCTTCTCTAAATTTCTGTACAAGAACACAATTTAAGTATCATCTAAACCTGTGAATCAAAAGAATCACTAGAGAACACGTTTTTTAATTAATGATAGTTAGGGAGAGTCGTTTTCCTACACATTTATTTTGTTCATCTGATCACGAAAATGAGATCCTTCTTCTTCTGGTCAGAAAGTAACGATTTTAATAAAGAAAAAAGTGTACACTTAACAAGAAAAGAAAAAGAACACAAAAAAGCTACCACACACACACACATGTCTGGGTATTACTACATCTGAGCTTCAAATTTGACATTAAAAAGTGAAGCGGGACCCTCATGGGGAACAAGGACAATATGGCATCTAAGAAGGATGATATTTTTTTATGGATATAATTACTTATTTACTTATAACATCATTTGTGCGATATATTTATGCAGATGTATAGAACAGTGAAGAGCACTGACAAAGAAGCAGGTACTGGATTTTATTATTTTCTTCTCTAAGGACCCCATGCATCATAGTTTTCTCTTTAATGTGTTCATATTTCAGATAGAAATAAGACCAATACATACAGTCCCATTACTATTATTACTGGATTTGTCTGATAAGTTGCAGAAAATTGATGGGTGTTGTATGAATGTGTTTTTGCAGCTGCATTTGCGGATATGGGTATGATAAATCCAAGGACCCCAGAGACATTACTACAAATGCAAGGGGGTATATCACAAACTGGTGATAAAATAATTGATACCAACAACTCCAACCTGCACCTTTCTAATCATTCTCATCACCCATCACGAGCAACTACACTACAAACAGCCCAGAGGTTAGTGTGTGTGTGTGTGGTGAATTTCATTTAATAGTACATATCTAGCAGTCTTTCGATCTATTTCTCTGCAAGTTTTGTGTTCTTTGTCTGTGTTCATCATCATTACCTTTTTGAAGTCATACCGAATATGATACCAACTTGACTTACAAAGGGCATCTAATTAAGTGCATATCTGAAACACAGACATAAATGCATAATGTTTGTTGGTGAATGAATATTGTGTTGATGATCTAGATCTTCTCTTCGTTGAAAGTGAATATAAAAGGCAAATAAACTCATGGAGAATTTTAGTTGAAATTTTCTATATATTAAAAATTTTAAATCTCTTCATTACTGTATAAAACAACGAGAATGACATGTCCAATGGATGTTGAATGATAATGTTTAATCTCGAGGAAAAGTAATATTAAGCCAAGGATAATGGCACAAATTTCTGAGATAGTAGTATATAGGATGACATTTAGGGAACATTTCTCCATAATTATGGTACAAACATGTAAAACTAGGAATTAGTATAGCTAGCTAATTAATCTATGTTAGATAATACAAGTTCAATTCCTTTTAATTTGGCTTCATTTATTTCTACCCATCTCCATTTATCCCTACCCTCTAATCATTTTTCTAATCATTGTTTTTACTAATTAACTTAATGATTATATATTTTTACTAATCATTAATAGTTTTAATAATTAATTTATCATTTATTTCTATCATATCTCCACAATTTATTTACTAACATATTTATAATTAATAGTTTTTTTAATCTAAACATTTATAAATTTATTTACTAAAATATTATTTATTTTATTTATTCTATATATAATTTATTAATACTAATTTATAAAAGATGTGTAAATATTTGTATTCATTTTTTTAAAATAAAAATAAAACACAACACAACATTAATCTATTAAAAAGCTATTATTCAAATTGATATTTTATTAGAAAAAGACTACATAAACTATATTAAATAATGTTTTGATAAAAAATTGATGTTTTTAGCTAAAATAAATAAATATATATAGAAACGATAAAAGATATAACTATAAAGTTAAAAAATATCATATTTTTAAAATAAATGGGCTGTTAATGCAAAGTTTTAGAGTATAAATTGATTACTTTTCTTTTAACCCTAAAAAAAATGATGCAGCCGCCAAAAGAAAGAGCTGGGTGATTTCCGGCGAGTTTCACATGTTTCCGGCGAGGTTTAACTGCGGCCTTCACACTTTTCTTTCTTTCTCGTTCTATCTCCGACGGTGATGGCTGCAGGTGAGCTTCACGTGTTTTCCGGCGACCCTTCAGTCAAGCTTCACGTGTTTCCGGCGAGGTTTTCAGATTTCTGGTGACGTTTCAGCCGCCTATCCAACGCTCCGACGACTATTTTTTTCTTACTCTTTTCTGATTACGATGTTTTTTCCGACCGTCCAACTCTTATCCGACGAAGGCAGGTGGCCGTCAACGGTCGTAGGGGCTTTCACGGCGTTTTCTGACGTCTCTCTCTCTTGTTCAATATCTCTTCTAGTATCTCTTCTGATTATTCTGGTAGCCATCGCCGGTAGGTTGCCGTCGATGGTCGTAGTGACTGACGACGACGGTGGTTAATTGTTGTGGTTGGTGGCCGGATATGAGTTTTTGTTGGGGATTAAGCAACGTATTAAATTAATTGATTGTTTTGAATATTGTGTTAAAAACTTACTGTATTTTATTAAAAAGTAATTTGGTAGTTAACTGAAGCATTACATTGTGAGTAATTTTCAATGTAACACGGTTTCCTAAGCTTTGTCAAAATCTGATTAAAACAGTGACACATCCTTCGATGAATTAAAAGAATATGTTTTTTGTTTATCGGTTAAAATTCTGAAAAGGCTGTAAGTTTAAAATTGTAAAATCTCTACCAAACCTGTAATAATTAAGGGGGTAGAGTAATAAAAAAATGGGGTATTAATAACATATCCCTTTAATTCTTATACATGTTAGAGTCGTTTAAAGTCAAGCTATATAGCTAGGAATATTTAATGTAAAAGACATTGGGTTGCTTTTGTTGACGTAATTATTTCTGGATGGCAGTTGATTGCTATCAAGTATTTAAACGACGTACGACTGTGATTAAAGGCTTCTTTAATTTTCAATAGTTTAATAGAAGTGCATCACCTGTATTCCACGAGATTTCTTGCGCCTTGGAAAATCAAAACCTTATATCCGAGTTTTATCTTTAATCTTTTATTATAAATAGTCCACATTCAGTGTTTTACCACCTTTGGTGATTCTTGTCCGGCATATAAATACTTACCCTATTTAGTGATTAATGAAAAAATTAACTGTATTGGTAAATACGAATAATTAAGCATATTCCCATGTGATATGTGAATAGTTTGTTTGGTAAAAGTGATGATATTTTGGTGGCTTTCTATAATATATATGGACATGCTCTCTTACTAAATCTAAAAATTTTAAGCAGAGGCTCATGGTCATCGACAATGGAGAAATACGATTCAAGGTTCTTGAGCCAAGAATACATGCGAAATTGTTCAGAACTTGGAGTGATTGATAATAAGGTTTGAAGGCATAGACCATATTCAGCTTGTATATATAGATATATGTATATCGTATGTATAAAGAATATTAATTGTTTTTAATGAATCATTATTGTTTTTGTGTAGGTGGATGAACATGAGCCATCCTTACACTTGTCAGAAAATGACATGAAGTTGGAAAGTAGTAGTAGGACTAAGTCTTTAGATTCAAATAGGTTGCTGAATCTTGAGTTCACCCTCGGAAGGCCAAGCCGGCAAAAGGAAGATTGTGTCCAAAATGAAAATTAATCCAAAAACACTCTTAATTTGACTAATAACATACGTATTGAATAGGTAGTGAAGCTATGTTTAATATTGCTTAATCTAGCCATGTGTTAACCTTTGACAAATTTTGTGCCATGTAGAATTGACAAATTTGTGCCATGTAGAATGTAGAGGTGAAAACTACAGGGATGAAAGTAGAGAATTTTAAAAATTAATAATATTCTCATTTTGAACGTCTTACGTTGCCGTAGCTATGAGTATTTAACTTTTTTTACGAAACGGTATTTGGTATTTTCATTTAAGCAAGAAACTATCATTTATGTAAATTTGTAAAGGGATATAGTCAAAATTAAGTACGTAATTTTTAGGGTTAATATCATAACCCGACAACTAATATTATTTAGTTTTAATGAGTACTTGGATTTGCAAAGTAACCTAATTAAGGCTGGAACGCGCCAAGATCGCAACTTCGGTATGACCTGAAACAATCTCGAATTGGGTAAACTTTATGATAGTAGAGCCAATATTTCGTAAGATAGAGCGAACCATTGAGAATTTAAGAAAAAAGAAATTAAATATCATCAAACATTTCTTTCTTGGGCAAATGTCACTGAAGCTCAACCAACTTACGTGTTTTGGTTTAAAATGTCTCTTTTGTTATTTTTTTGCGTTATAAGGGTATGCATTCATGTTTTTAGGGTTCAAAAGGTCCCTTTGAGAAAAATGAAGGGGTCACCCGGTGAACTCCTTCCTAATCAGCAGGTTAATTACGCTAGTCACTATCACATCATCAATTAATCTCTCTCTCTCTCTCTCTCTCTCTCTCTCTCTCTCTCTCTCTCCCCTCCTCCTCCTACTTTTTCTTCATCCATCATCTTCGTTCAACACATATTCTTTCTCTGTAATACTTGCAACTCAGAAGCATACGTACATCACACACATACTTCTATGATTCCGATTCCAAGACCTAATTAACCCCGTTTAGATTTCTCCCAAATCCATACAGACGCATCGATTCTGATAACTGCAGAAACACACACAGACACACACAAAGCTTCCATTTTTGCGACCCAAAATGTCGACGGAGATGGAGAACACCGATCCTGAAGGAATCGATGATGCTCATATGGCCACACACAAAAGTCGAAGTCAGCAAGTGTGTCATCCCTTTCGGAGTGGTGGCAGGGCCTATCGAGATGAAGATTCAGCCAAGAAATCTAATCAATCAGAGAGAATCATAACCCACCACCAAGTTTGAACCTGAGATCTATTTATGTTTCACCTTGTTCATGGATTTTAAGAGTATAATACTCATTAAATGAACTTGGTATATATGCAGATGAAGATATCATAGAAAGATCGGCGGGTCCGGCGAACTCATCGACTACTGCAATCAAGCCAAGACGATGGCATCCATAATTAAACAGCATCTCTGCGCCACCACCCAATTTGGTAGCGACCACAAAAGGAAATGGCGTTCCGGTTACAGACGAAGAAGATGGGAACGTTTTCTTCTTCTTTTTTCATATCACAAATTCAATTGGAATATCATAGGTTGAAGGATGTCTGGCAATCCGTTCTTTGAAGAGGAGGGTCGCGTTCCCCTTCGTTTCTTTGTATCGACATACCCCAAAAATTAAGAAAAATGCCACATGAATTTGTTTTAAATTTTGAACTTTAAAAAAAATATATAGAAAAGCCAAATATACCAATTGTAACCGGTAAACCGGAAACAAATATGGTGGTTCCCCTTTTAAACATGTAAAATGAAAGTTTAGATACTTAGACCACCAAAAAGAAACATGAAGGATCTTTTAAACCAAAACACATAAATTGGTTGGACTACAGTGATATTTACCCTTCTTTCTTATATATCATTTTATTCATCTTGACATGTTTCATACAAATATATTAACATATTATTATTTTCATTAATTGTGACATATTCATCATTTAAAATGCATAGAAAAAATATATAGGAAGAAAATATAAAAAAAATATAAAATTTCTCTAACAAAAGCAATTAGGGTTTTTGTCCTCCCCTTTCCTTACCTTGTACCCGGAGACTCTTGATATATAGCATACATGTATTCAAATAAGGATAAATATCATTTGGATGACATGGTTCGAAATATATAGATAAACGTACACATAGATGACTCGATTTAAAACATATTGAAAAACATATATACATGGATATGCAATATATTAATAATTTATATATATAT